CTTACAATACATATATACACACATACATATAGAAAAATTGTATATTTCGCAATATTGACAGTAAAATATAAATAAATAAAACTAAAAATATTAAAATTTGTAAACTAAAATAATCCAAAAATTAAAAAACATAATGAAATAAAGACTTCACGTACATTATAAAAAGTTAATTTATATTTAAACTCAAAACTCTTTTTTAGAGAAAACCACTATTTTTAGAAAATAATACGAAATTGTTTAATTTAATGAAATACCAAAATAAATATTTTAAAAATAAAAGTTATAAAAACATGCATATTTTTTATTGTCGATATTATCTGTCATACAATTTAACCCTTCAAAATCAAATTCATGCAAGGATTATTTTGTATTTGTGAAAGGGGCCGTCCATATATTACGTCATTCTAAATTAGGGGGGGGGGGTTTGGTTGGTCTGCGGATGACGGTAAAGTCAAAGTCGGTAAAGACGGTGTCTTTAAGAAATGACGATAGGATAGGGGGGGGGGTCTAAAATCTGAAAAAATTGATGACGTAATTTATGGACGGCCCAAAGGCATCGGTGCAAAACTTTTTAATTTTGAATATTTTTTTTTTGATATTAAATAACAGTTTAAAGAAACAAATTTAAAAAAAAAATTATAATTAATTAAATTTATAAGTAATAAGAAATTATTGGTAGCAGTGATAAAGATTCGCCCTGCTATTACTATTAAAGTAAACAGACTAAACTAACATAATTGGTCAGCTAGAACGACGACTATATCCTACAGTGATCCGATCTGAATCATTTGTTCCAAGATTGTTCATGCATGCGAAATTGTGTGAAGATGTCCTGCGAAATGAAATAATTGTCTATACAGGGATTTGTTTTGATCAGTAGTGCGATCTGAACAATTTACAAAGGGATCATTGACTCCATAAAATGAAAAGAAAAGTTGTTGACTTGGCTAAATGTAAGCAAAGGTTGTGGACTTGGCGAAATGTGAACAAAAGGATCATTAATCTCTTAAAATGTAAACAAAAGGGTCTTGCGGAGAAAAGGATGTGTGAAAAACTTTAGTTCGATATCTTAAAAACTGATAGACTAGTACGCGTATATATAGGAAGACAGACGGACATGGCTAAATCGATCCCGGGCCCCCCACGTTTCATTGTTTCACTCTGGGAGTTACAAATTTCGTCGCAAACTTAATAGACCCTGTTCACAGTATAAAATTGATAAAATATATGTAAATCGTTTGAATGTGCAATTTTGGGGATCTGTGCTCGAGTGTATTGAAGATGATGGCTCTTTGCGAGCTGTAGTTCAAAATGGTAGAATAGGATTAAAAATTAAACATAAAAAAAAATTAACTAAAAATTACATATTTAAAAAAAATTAAAAAACATTACAATTTAAAAAAAAAAATTTAAAATAAAGAAAGATAAAAATTAAAAAAAAGAATTTAAAATAAAATAAATAAAAAAAAAAGAATTTAAAATAAAATAAATAAAAAAAAAAGAATTTAAAATAAAATAAATAAAAAAAAAAGAATTTAAAATAAAATAAATAAAAAAAGAAAAGAATTTAAAATAAAAAAAAATAAAAAAAATTTAAAAAAAAGAGTTTAAAATAAAAAAAGGGATTTAAAATAAAAAAAAATTAAAAAAAAAGAATTTAATATAAAAAAAAATTAAAAATTAAATTAAAGAAAAACCATTAATAATTAAGAGTAAATTTTTAATCCGGTTTTGGAATTAAATTATTTTTTCAATCCGATTTTTGGGATTAAAAATTTAAAATTTTTTCAATTAGGATTTTCGAGATTATAAAATAAAAAAAAATATTTTTTAATTCAAATGGTAATTCAATTTTTTCTTTAACGCATTATCTGCAACCCAGCACTCAACTCGGCAGCAGTCCTCAAAATTATTAAGAGACTATTTCTGCCGCTTCAACCACAACAACATCGTTTCAGTGTTTTTCAAAATCTTTCAGCGCATATTATAAAATACACAACATACTTTATACATTTTTGTTTAAACAAGTAATTTAACTTTAATTTTTGCTTTTACTCATAATCTACATAATTAGTGTTTCCCCCTATTTTGATAAAAACTCAACTTATAAAACTAAACAAACCAAAAAATTTATTTATTTTAAATGTCATCAAATACCCTACAATTAATATTAGTCACAATTTGCATTTAACATGAGTTGCTTAATAACTAAAACCAAATTACACGGAAAGCAATTTTTTTGACACAAGAAAAGTATACGTTGATAGTACAAATTTCAACAAATCTTTGCTACATCATTTTTTCTTTACCACATACGTATGTACAACAAGTTTGTAATTCAACGTAATTTCAAACAATTAACGGATATTATTTTTTATGCTCCTATAAACAGAAAAATATACTGTTAATTGTTTTATACTGTTTCAATAATGCCGCGGCGTCGTTGCTCACTGCTAGCGGCTTCCTCATTGCCAATAAATGAGGTTTCTTCGGAACTGGCGACGGGCACTAAAACTTCTTTGGCAATTGGAACACTCAGCTGCGTGGCATGATGCGCTGCTGGGGAATGTGTATCGTGCGGTGTGCCATTATGCACCGTTACAGCAATCGGTTCATAATTTAGCGCACGTGATGGCGTATGCGCACGCGTCGGTGTATTAAGATGTGAGGAATTGGCACGCGAGTGTGGACTGTTGTTGCGCGAATGTTGAAAGTCCTCGAGCGGAATCTCCTCAGAACTGCAATAAAAAAAAATGGATTTAATATATTGACAGCTTGGAAATGACAGGAAATGCCTAACCGCGGTCTGGGCATGCGCGGACTGTTGTCACGTGAATGTGTTGCGCCACGACTTTGTGAATTAGCACGCGAGCTGCGCGGCGAATGCTCACGACCTGGTGAAGAATTTGCATCGCGATTTTGCGACGTCGACGAATGTGAACTGGAATTGGAATTGCGACGACGCGGACGGCCGGTGCTCTCATTTCGTATGCTAAACAGAATTAGTGATAAGCAAATTTAACTTATCTAAAAATATATGCGACTAACCCCTCAATAGAGCGATTCTGCGCCATTTGCATGCGGCACACGCCACCAGCATTATTGGTGTCGCGCTTTAACGCCGCAGCAAAGCCGGGCACACGGTTTGTCGTCGACAATATGGGACGATGGTCGCGCGAAGAACGCGAACTGTTGCTTGCAACGCTACCCGCGCGTAAACCAGCCACCGCATAAACAGGCGAGTCAATCACTTGGCCAGGCATTTCAATTAGCTGCGCGATTTGGTACATTTTCTTCTGACGCGCCTTGCTGCGGCCCTAAAAAAAGAGCGTTAATGTTTAGTAGAAAAAAATTTTTTAAATTATGAAAATGTATAAAGCACCTTGGTCAGTCTTTGCTTTGCTGCCATACAACGTATGTGATCGTCAAAGAGGAATTTCGCCGATAGCAGCGGTGTACGATTGTGCGTCGCGCCGCCACGATGTACCGTAATGTGCAGGCAGCGCGAATCGTCTTTATCACCAACCACTTCGACATCCTGCAGGAAGCCAACGAATTTAGCCACACCCCAACCCAACAGTTTGGCATCTGGTTCAACGAGTATTAGTTGCAGCGAATCGATGACGAGAAAGCGTCGCTGTTTAGTGCTCTCCTTAGTGATAACAGTACAGGCAATTAAATCGCTATTATCTACAATTAAAAAATGATTAAAGTGGAAAAAACAAATTGTTACAGAAACTTCTAATATTATATGACACTAACTTAAATCGAGCACATTATCCACCTGCACCAGATTCATTGTGTTCGTTAACGGCAGCAATGTTTCTTTTTCATTCAAAAATTGTTGGCACGTTTTGCGTAGCAGAAAGAAATCACGTATAGCGCGACGTGCCTTCTCTACTTCGCCACAGGGCAGGCGACGTGTGAAATTGATACCCGTCAGTGGTGTGCCGGTCGGTGGCAGCAGTATCGTTGAATCCATACATAGAAATTCAACATTTAAATTTGTTTTGCGCATCTCATTGAACTCATCCTCGAACAGATCGAGAAATATATCTTCAGACTTATAGAAATTACGCAATACCACCATAGACTGGTTACGTGCGGAAAACAGTGCATCACGCTGTGCCTCTGTGATACAAGCGTCGTCCGTACACGGTTTAGTAAACGTGATGAGCAATTGTAGCGCAATCTCAATGGTTATGAGACGTATGCGGCAGGCTGTGGGTGGTAAAAAATATATATATGTATATAGGTATATCAATATTAGAAAAAAGTAAAATTTCAAAAAAATTATTTTTTAAGCATCCATACAAGGCTGATTCGATAACGTAATTATGTGCAGCAAGCGTTCTATTAGCTCTGTCTTGTAGCTGTACGGTCCTTTGGCTGTTTGGGAGAGTACTTGTTCGAACCAATCGTTTTTGACACCTACATATATCCGAGAAAAAACAATGGAAAGTGTTATTTTAGTTAAAATTAACTGGAATTGGCTGCACATTTATTTTTGTATAATAATATTAAATTGATGAAATATACAGATGCATATACATATATACATATATGTATATATAAAAACGAACTGAGAATCTTACATACCATCTACAGTGTTGGTTTATGAAGCATATATAGTAGTAGTGAGAAACACATCACCATTCGAGTTTATTTTGAAATGGATAGCATTACAAATGAAAAAGTAGAAAATAATGATGAACAATAAGTGCATTAGTAAGTTGATTTAGCGTTTGTTAAAAGGCGTTTAGATGAATGCAAACTACCAAATTAAACATGTAATAATATGGGCAACAATTTGTTGTTGTTTAAATTTTCAAGAATGCTCACCCCTGTTGTAAGCCATTGCGTATATGAGGCATAAGGACAAAAGTGCCAAATAATCATTCTCCGTACAATCCAACGCTGACAGTACCATTTCCAAGAATGGACGATTCAACTCATTAAATGCGCGCGTAGGTTGCGCAAGCTTTTGTATTTTTTCCTTTTCCTCATCGGTGATGTTCGCCAATTTGGCATTATTTAATACAGCTTGCGCCGCAACACTAGCGGTCTCCAACGAAATTCTGCACATATCGCTTGCTGCACATTCCTCAACGGTGGTGATTGTATTGGATGTGGTTGCTGTGGCATTTGTTACAGCTGCATCAAGCACGCTACTCGTGGCATTTGATGCTTCTAATGTATTTAGGTTGTCAGTATCATAGCTATGGCTTGTTGAGTTGGCACCGACAGTCTCCAACGCTTGCTCCAAACTTTCACGTGGCTCACCAAAACCCGGTACAATAATTAAACGGTGCTCCACATACGCATTTAATATTTCAGCTGCACCCTCTTTAAACACACTGTGATCACCATTGAGTATGACCCAGGCAAGCGCATGTACCAGCGGTGCATGTGTAATAACTAAGAATACCAGTGACAGCAAGTACAATGCGACAATTGATGAAACACGCGGATTATTGATTTCTTGTATATCAATATCTACAGGACGATTTAGGACTGCAGCGAGATTTTGTGTGACCACCGCAAGTGATGTTGGCGGTGGCGCAGGCGTGAGTGAGAATATATATAGCGGTACGAATAGTTTGTGTAACAGATGTTCGGTAAGTACCGCATTTAAATCGTCTATTTCGAGTAATAAAATATCGTTTAGGTAATGTAAATGATCTAGATGTTCGGCGACTAAATTTGAAAGCTTCTGATTCGACTGATGACTGCGTAATGAAATTTAATTATTTATTTATTTATTCAAACAAAATTAAGAGTCATGTACTTACTCAATGTCAGTCCTAACGCAGGTATCCAGTTCTAAAATATGCTTGCCTATAAACCAAACTAAGTTGCTGAAATAAGGCGCAGCGGTTCTGTAAAAGCAATTATTCACATTTTATATTATCACATATATTTCAAATTTCATAAGTACATACTTGTCTCTAATAAACCGCAACATACTGGCATTCTGTACTTTATATACATTTAACGAAATCGTGCGGACTGCTATTCGAACCATAGATTCTGGGTGATTAAAAAATTTTATAGCCTCTGTATATAGTGGAAAATCATTGGTATGCTAGAAAACAATATAAATATTTAAAAATGCTAAATAATTTTTAATATTAAAATTTCATTTTTACTTCGTTATAGAAGAAATGTATGGTATGCGTATTAAGTTTAAGGCTGAGCGTCTTTAGAAATAAAATGTAATAACCCATTACATCTTCATCAGAAAAATCAAACTTGTGCACAATTATAGAATTGACATGATTGTTGCTCAAAAGATAATCTATAAAAACAAAACAAATCATTTCTGTAAGTGACCCACTTATTTATGTTATGCTTGCTGAAGCATTGATACTTACACAAAGATGTCTCATTTCGTATATTTTCAAATAAAATATTTAATGTTTGCAATAGTTGCACACAAACAAAACTCGAGCCACCGCTTTTTTGGCGCATTATATGTAAAAAGTAGGACAGCATGTTTTTCTCAAGAAAAAAACTGCAAAAAAATTAAAATAATTATTTAGCAGCACACTTTGTACACAAATCTGTACTATATATAAATATATGTAAAATGATTTCGTTACGCACTCAAACACAGAAGAATCATGCTGATCGCCCCAGATAAGTATTTCTGCAATACAGCGCAGTGATTCCACTAAGAGACCACGATTGCTTTCGGAAACAGTGGTATTCTTTTCCAATATACTGTACAGGTACTTAAGGTGATCCAATGAAAGACGATTCTTTGGGCGGTTCCAGTTTCCACCAAACCAACTTCTACTCCGAAACATTTTTGTTTCCTTTCTCTTTATTTTTTAGCAATATATCTAATTTGTGGCTATAATCCTTAAGTTTTCGTATCCTCTTCGCATATACAATACAATTTTTTTAAATAAATTTGTCATTTAATTACGTTTCACTTTAGCATTTAATTACTTCATCAAAGAAAAAAGTACACTTTTTATTTCTACGTTGACGGTTGAACAAAATATTGCCTGCTGCTGTTGTCATAACCTGTCAGTACCATATGACCGCGGAATCAATTTTAACGCCGTTAAACATTTACTCGGCGCTGGTAATAAATACATTTGAAAAATCTTTGTTAGCATAAAATATTTAATTAAAGCCAACAAGACTTTTAAAGTATTGCATTCAAGTTCTTTCATTAATACATTTATAAATAAAAAATAATTAATAATAATAATCAAAATTACCAACTACAATCGATTTATTATTGCTTATCGATATGCTTTAAGTGGGCGGTAGTTATTTGTTGTTGTTAGACAAATGATGAGATGAAATCCCACACCGATTGGCTGTAATATGACTAAGTTTTAACAATACCGTAGTTATTTCCCGATACCACTATTTAAAAAAACTTAACTTTTTGATGTCTATAGAAAATGAATTCAGATTCAGCGTTATTTAATTTAGAAAATAGGTGGCAGAGCTGTGCAAATAGATGTATACAGCTTATAAAGTAAATAAATAATAAATATTGTCTTTATTTAAATCATATATACAATTTTAAGATACATTTTAGAATATTTGATAATAAAAGTTTTATATTCCATATTTTAGTAGCAACATTTCTACTTGTCCACATTAGTGTTACTTTAAGAGAAAGTGTCAGCATTACTGTGACATTGCCCACTTTTAAGTTGTACATTGATTAATGTTTCCTAATACCAAATTTTACAGATGCCGATGGTCCTACCGTTGTAGCTATAGCGTACCATGTTTTCTAGTCATGCTCATCTAAAACGACGTACACCTGAGGGAGGAATACCACGTCCTGATTACATTGAACATCTGGTAGAAGAATATCACACCACTACTAACATTGGTGAGACATATAGCTTAGAACGTTTCAAACAATTTACCTTAGAATTTCTAGAGGCTAAGGAACAGGTGACTGCTAATTTGGCTAATTTTGCTTATGATCCAATAAATTGGAAGTATATAAACGAATCTGGTGCCTTAGACGTATTTGAAGACTGCATGAAGAGTCCAAATGAACGTTTACAATTACATGCTATTGCCGGTTATTGTAACATATGCATAGGTAATAATACTTTTTAAAAAATTCTACCAAAAACTAGACACAATTTTTATCTCTTAGATCCTGAAGCATTTAAATTTATTACAAATTTCGAGATCTTCGAGCAAATAAGGAAACTACTTGACTTAACAGAAGCAGCCGACATACAGCTTAATTGCATAGCTCTATTATATCAGCTACTCACGGCGGACTCCTGTACACAAGAACAAAAAATTTTAATTGCCATACCCAGCTTGCTAAAAAAAATTACACAACTGCGAAACAAAAGCACAGATCAGAGAGTAAAGAATATCTCGGCATTGTTTTGTGAAGATTTTGGATCGCGTATAGAGGAGGTAGTCGATTTTAAAAATGTACTTGCAACTTTTAAAACGCTTTAATAGTCAAGTACCAACTAAATGCAGAGAGATTACTGTAGTCAAAAGGTTCAGTCAGGAAGAACTAGATCAATTTTCTACGCTTACCGCCGATTACAATCCTATACATTCTACAGACACATCAATAAACGAACGTAAAGTTCATGGTGCCTTCCTCAATGCCATTGTGGCTGGCATAATTGGCTCACAAATACCTGGGCCGGGTACTATTGTTTTAAGTCAAAAGTTTAAATTTCCCAATGCATGTCGTGTGGGTAAAGATGTAAATATTACTATTCGTTTGGTTAATGAACGCAAAATTGCTTTAGTAGAATATGAGTGTAAACAGGATGAAGGATTGGTTTTCATTGGCGAAGCTAAACTTCTAATAAAACAATGATCAAAATATAACTAAAAATATCTTTATTTTAAAAAGTAAACACAAGTACTCTATTTCTTCGCTCGCTTGCCTTCACCCTTCTTTGGTGCAGCTTTACCACGTAGCCGTCTCAAACGTTTCATTTCCTCTTTAAAATCTTCGTGCTCGTCACGGAATAAGCCATAAGCACGAAGATTTTTCATGAGAATATGTGTCTCTACATGTCGAGGATACCAGTTATTCAACGAATCTCGCTTATGCACCGGCTCCTCCGCGAACATGCGAACTACCTTCATCGACTTTTCATTGGTTGTACGCGCGACTTCACCAAAAATGCGATTGGAAAGGAAATTCATCCGGCGTGCATATTGTGTGCCCAACTTAATTAAATCGTTATATTTGTAGGACGACATCGTTGGCCACAAATCACGTTGTTAACTTTAAAATGAAAATATTGTAAAGAAAAATATAATTTATTATTGTAGTATGTTAAGGTATTGTTGGTTATGTCATTTCAAATAGATATCAGCTGATCGATTACAGATTTGCAATGAATTACAAATAAAAACTTAACATAGAAATTTTTTTTATATAAAAAATTAATATGTATATAATATTACGTGCTATTGAATTTATAAAATAGCATATAAATTATCATATAATCCAGTCTATTATAATACTAATGTATGAGACTAACTCGGTAAACTGGTCATAGTCATTTTGAAAGTCTTGAGTATACGATAATATTTTATTATAAAGATAAATTCCATTATTAAATTAAGTTTAGAATCGATGTTTTATAATTTTATTATTGCATATACCAGAGATTATCACGTTCCAAGATTGTTCAGTTAATAATAACGCGTAATACAAAATTAATAAGTTAAATTATGGCTATGAAAAATTATATATAAGAACTAATATGTTAGGCTTGAGGAATACCTTTTTCTTACAATAAATGTTTTCTGATATTTCTATACATATAAGATAGAGCACAACATTTAAAACGGTTCACACAGGTAACAAGCTTAAAAAGTCAGATCACAGATGTCGCCTTTCACATAGTACTGTTCGTTTGTAATTTTTGTAAACTGCAGCCTGCTTCTACAACTTCCCGAACGAATACTGCTCGATACTTTCTTTCTGACATCGTCGCTCAAACTGATAGGAAGCGTCGAAATATTTTCTGAGAAATGGTAAGAATTATTTTTTTTTTTTTATAGATTGTTAAGTTTATAAATGTGGTTAAGAAGTGTGAATAATTTGATGATTATATATTCCTTAATAAAAATTTATAAGATAAAAACAAATTAACCTGCAAAGTTATTTGCACACGTGGTTTTAAATGTAATGAAACAAATTGTTCGTTTTTTAGGTTTTATATTAATCTAAGTTTTCTAATTTTATTTTTGTTAGTCTCATCGTAAATTCTCTGCACCTCGCCATGGTTCTATGGCATTCTACCCCAAGAAGCGGTCATGCCGCCATCGTGGTAAGGTTAAGGCCTTCCCCAAGGATGACGCCAGTAAACCAGTCCATTTAACATGCTTCATTGGTTACAAAGCTGGTATGACCCACATTGTTCGTGAAGCGGACCGTCCTGGATCCAGTAAGTTTAAAACTATTTTTAACACGCCTTTATTTTCTATGATGATAAAAAGTTAATAATTTATGGTTAGAACACAAATGATATCCATGATTATAATATAACTAGGGCGGACTGATTTATCTACCATAATTGTATTAAGGAAATTTGATGAGCACGTGTTTTTAATGTTTCTATTTTTCTACTTCCAGAGATCAATAAGAAGGAGGTTGTTGAAGCCGTAACTGTTTTGGAAACTCCACCAATGATAGTTGTCGGAGCTGTAGGTTACATTGAAACTCCATATGGTCTTCGTGCTCTAGTCAATGTATGGGCACAACATTTATCGGAAGAGTGCCGTCGTCGTTTCTACAAGAACTGGTATGTTAAGCTTCATTACAACCTCAAAATGTGTTTTTTAAGTGGAATTAGATTACTTGATAAACATGTGTTGATTTCTTTTGCTTAAAATGATGATAGATGGTAACTGACTTTTTTGAAGATACAATATTATACCATCCCTGCCTGCCTTCCTTCTGATCAAAGTTTAAAGAAATCAACATTGTTTAACTGTCTTTCAATATTTGTTTGCTGTATATAAGAATATTACTAAAAAGATAATTTAAATTTAAAGTTCTTGGATCAGCTTGCTGAGAGAGCTTTTAAAATCTGTACAAGTCGTGTGAGCGCCATATTGTTTACCGAAAATTCAGTTCGTTTTTTGGTATTCTGATATGTGAAATTTCGTGAGCACGGCATGGAAGAATCGATCTCCGCTCGCCTTTCATTGCGATGAGGTCGGCTTCCTTTTTTGTTTTCTTTTTTATGTCAGTCAAATTCTCAATAGCAAAGAAGTTGAGTGTTGCGCCCACCCAATGGAGCTGAAAGCAAACTCCCTGGCTGCAAATTTGTTCCACTAAACGCACTCAATTGCGCTATCCGTTATAACTGCATAGATATATGTATTTGATGAATGCAATCTGCCTCGATTCAGGTACAAATCAAAGAAGAAGGCTTTCACCAAAGCCAGCAAAAAATGGGAAGTTGACTTGGGCAAGAAGAGCATTGAAAACGACTTCCGCAAGATGCTCCGTTACTGCAAGGTCATTCGCGTTATTGCTCATTCACAGGTAATTATGAAACAAATTTAATCATATTCATAAAATATGCGACGTCCTTGGTACACGGCGTCGGATGCACACTGCAGTCTTCGGATGAATGAGTGCATCTGATGTAGGGTTCCTAAAAGGCGGTCTTGCTGTGATGTTCAATGCATAGTTATATAACCGCAACGTCGAAGAAAAAATTGCCCTTGGCGATCCTTGATATATTCCACTAACTGTACATAGCCGCTTAGGCGATAACCGCACAGTTAAACCATATCACGGACATTACTAATTCAAATTATTTAACACTTACATATGTACATTCTTACACTATACACTTTTCTACTTCAATTAGATCCGTTTGATCAAACAACGCCAAAAGAAGGCGCATATCATGGAAATCCAATTGAACGGTGGTTCTATCGAAGATAAGGTTAAATGGGTTCGCGAGAACTTGGAGAAACCTGTGCAGGTCAGCAATGTCTTCGGACAGGATGAGATGATTGATTGCGTTGGTGTTACCAAAGGTAAAGGTTTCAAGGGTGTCACTGCTCGTTGGCACACCAAGAAATTGCCACGCAAGACGCACAAGGGTCTGCGTAAGGTTGCTTGTATTGGAGCCTGGCATCCATCTCGTGTGTCCTTCACCGTCGCACGTGCCGGTCAAAAGGGCTACCATCACCGTACCGAAATCAACAAGAAGATCTACCGCATCGGTGCCGGAATCCACACCAAGGATGGCAAGGTAGGGCAAAATTGCTATTATAATCTCAATTTTATTAGATTGCTTTGATGATAAACTCATAAAGTTCCGACATCAAACAAAACTTTTTATTGATACCAAAATGATAATCAAATGATAGGACTGATTGCATAACCCGTAGACATGTATGAATGTGAATAATTTAAAAATATTACTAATTAAATGTAATTTCCGAACATTACAGGTCATCAAGAATAACGCCTCCACCGAGTACGATTTGACCGACAAGAGCATTACACCTATGGGTGGTTTCCCCCATTATGGTGAGGTCACCAATGACTTCGTCATGCTCAAGGGTTGTTGCATTGGCTCCAAGAAGCGTGTGCTCACACTCCGCAAATCTTTGTTGAAACACACCAAACGCTCTGCTTTGGAACAAATCAAACTCAAGTTCATCGACACATCGTCAAAGATGGGTCATGGTCGTTTCCAGACACCAGCCGACAAATTGGCATTCATGGGTCCACTCAAGAAGGATCGCATCAAGGAGGAGGTTGCCGCCGCTGGCGCTGCCACTACATCGGCCACCGCATAAATGTAAATTTATGTTTGTTAATTATATTAACACTTAATTACCACATTGATTGTGGTAAAAATAAAATAAATAGTAAAAACCAAAAATTTTCCTTCAAATTTATTGAGCAATAGTGCAATGATGATGGCGTAAGTAATCTTTAGCGGGTTATTTAAATTGGATAAAAAAATAAATAGAATAATCAGCAAGTTCCTAACACAAATAATACACATAGTGTCGACTGATATTGTATATGTATTGCTTGATTTGTACAGCATTATCGCGCATTGTTGCTAGGGTCGTCTCGGCTCTAGTAATTTTTAGCATGCGTCATCGTGACAACTGAATTTTTAATAAGCGGTGGTATGTTTACTTTTTCAGTGTCCAGTACTTCGTGTAGTGAATACAAATCTCTTAACACCGATAAATTCAATTTGAAATACTTTTTAATATTGGTAATACCCACAACTGACTTGATTTTTACAACAAATGTGTTGTTCCAAATTGTCAAATGTATTTCTGACATAAGGGTTAGTTTTCATTTCAAGTGCAGCTTAAAACTTGGGAGATCCTCGCATTGAGATGAGTAGAACAGATTTTAGAAAAAGATTAAAAACTATTTACTATTTGTTATTTATCGAAAATTCTTAAAATATACGTCTACATATTATATGAAGCCAACAAAAGTGTTAGGGCTGGCGCTTCAGGTTTGGCCCTAATGGAAATACCAAGATTTTTTTTCGATATAGGTATAGAAAATACTGTAGGTGTTTTTACCGTCGTTGTTGTTGTATCGTGGGTATTTAGCTACCCTTAATATGCGACAGTAAGCAATATGTCACATTCTACCCATTAGCATCTACCTGCTTATATGACGGTAAAAACTCTTCAGTTATCAATTATTACATCTTTTATTGTTTAATTTTTATTAAATTTAACTTAAATAATCATACATAAAAGTAAGCGTTTGCTTATTTATAATATCGTTTAACGAAAAATTTTTGTTTCTTGTATTTTTTTTATAAATAGTTCATTTCAACATTACAAAACTACAATATTAGCTATTTAGCATCTCTGTTCAGTAAACTTTTATATTCATTAGTTTGCATATCACAGGCAATGTAATGCCGTCATTATTCCTAAGTAAAGTGATTTTATCATATCCAACAACATTTTTATTCTTAACCTGTAGTAATTATCATTATCGTAAATATCATTTAGCTAAAAATTATGTATGAAAATATTTAGTATATATGTTATGTAACTGTTATAGTATGAGAGTCCCAGCTCTCAATCAGGTTTTCAGTTTGGTAAGAATTTGCAGCAAATCCTTGATGCACACATTTTGCTTGCCATTGTGAATACATGTACATATATGTAAAAAGAGTTGTTTTATTTTTATTGAGACTGTTTTGTACTAGAATAAAAAAATGAGAGAAATAAAAACATAAAATTAAAAGAAAATTTAACAAAGGGTAAAAATTTGATGAATATATAAATCTGTGTTACATATTAACTAAGTTGCGTTAATTGATTGGCAATTTGTCATATTTATGAACATATGCATGTAATCTGACAAAGTGTACATATTGATAAATATTACTTGTGCTCAGCTAAGATAACAAGCAATTGTACACATGTATTTGTTTGTATGTGTATGATTACATTAATCTCTTAATTACAGTTCCTAAATATCATAATCAACAATTGGCATTACTTGTCTTTGGGTGTTTTGTTAAATAAATATTCGTTGGCCATGCTATAGCCGAGACCCAACGTCAGCGCACCGACAACGGTTCCCTGCGCCGCAACACGAAGTTGCATTAAGAAAACGCTGGTGCTCATTGTGCCCCGGTTCTTATATTTATAAGCACCAATAATGCCAGCCGCTACGAAACCAGCCAAACCTGCAAATATAAATTCATGGAAAACAATTGTTAATCATAAATAAATGTAATAATATGATTTAATTGATAAACACAACGTTCGCTTGTGTGTGGCAAAAAAAAAGAGAAAAAAACAATAACAGCTGTGAAGATAAACAAGTTTTCAAATGCAATAAAGCGATTTCGTGGAAATTTTCATTGCTGTTTTTCGTATTCATGTGTAAATTATGATACGTTAATAAAAAAAAAATAGAATATAGTACATACATAAGTCATTTTGCACCTCGCACACCCCACAAGCTATTTGAGGTAGGGAGGAGAGACTCAATTTAGTCTACACGTGCACTTTAAAAACAAATGATTTTTCGAAAAAGTCGCAGCGAGGAAATTACTTGCATTTAACTTTTATATGCTCACCTCAAATAAAAACAAATTCTAATTTTATAGAGAAAACTACTAAGAGAAAGTAATCGAAATATCCAATTATTTGTGCTCACAAACATTTAATTGATACAAATTAATTTACACACACATAGCTTAATAATTTCGTCAGATTGTAGTTTCCGCTTTTTCACTACACTTCAAACTTACACAGCTATAGGTAAAATATATGTCCTCTATAAAAATAATGATCATGTGGCAAAAAAAAATTGGGAATAATTTTACTTCCGGGGAGATTTTTAATAAGAACCTGCTGCACTGTGATCTATTCACATATTATATTAAAAATACAGGAGTTCCCTATGGAGGTGTATATTGAATAATATAGACTTATTAGAAACCCATGTGAATTTCTCATCATTTGAGCACTAGCTGCCTGCGTGCATGCCAACGCAAAAGAAAAGCGAAAAAAACGGACAACTTAGGTATAATTCGCACAGCAACAATTGCAAATTTTGATGATGATTTAAATCCACCCAATTATCTTCTTTCTAAGTGCATATTGAAAAGCTATGCACTTTTATCGAAAATTGAAATATATTAATACTCACTATTGCGCGAGCAAGGGTATTACATCATCATTATGAATTTCTTCAAAATTAGCAGTCGATTGGTTAAACGTTGACTTTGTTGAACATATACTTTGGAGGATGACCAATATGGTTTTGAACGTTATATATCAACACTTATAAAAAATAAAATAATTTAAACGCAAGACCTCGTCTGCAGCTATCGCATTTTGAGAGTCGTTAGTCAGTACATGTTCAGAGTGGCGCGCAGGAAATAAGAGCACATTATTTTGTTTGAAAGTTTTTACAAATTAAATAGTAAATACATTTAGTATATGCATGTATGTATTTCCTAAAACAATAGTAATTATACACACGCACTTCATTATATTATTGTTGTGTTGTGTAATATAAAAAGAACGTAAAGACTGCAGGCGTTCTCTGATGCGTGTATGACACAAAGCATGGTCAAGGTCAAGTGCCAGACTAATGCATCCTCTACTTTGGGTTAATTTATATTACAGGTGAAATACAGTACATTTCATTAAAAATGTTACTGTTGTGTAATGTCAATCAGTTTGTGTTTTTCGTCGTCGTGGCGAGTAACTACTATAACTATAATTAATTATGTAAAACCTTCAGATTCTTCCATTTACCAATAATCATGAATGGCGAATCCTTTATTTTTCTGGACAGTTTTCCACCTTCACTTTCATCGTGCGAATTCTCAAAATACGATTTAGAACTCATTTTCCCTGTTTAGTATTTGTGGCGTTAGAAAAAGCAGAACAGGGTTTTTATTCAGTAAAACTTTTCCCTTTTTGGCACACTTTGCACTTTCAGATGTTTAAAACTTTTCCACTGATTTAAACGATTACTGCTCGTGACGACGGTCGATTAACAATTGGCTAAAAACCAATCGGTGGATATATATATGTATCGAAATCTTTTCTTAGAGATGGAAAATATTTTTTGTTAAAATATTATAATATATTTATATGCTTTCATTATGCATCTGCAAAAGAAAAAGACACTTAACCTAAACCTGAAGATAAATATTAAAATATATATCCAAAATAGGAATCGATTATTTTCAGTCTTGAAAATCGACTTGATTAGTTTATAATGTTGCCATTCAACTTTTATTTCAAAAAATGGCATGAAGTCTTATTTGTTCAAAATTATAAGAAAACTACTTTTTTAATCAAATAAAGTTTTAAATAGTTATGGATTTCTGCGTTAAAAACAATGCGGCATATAATTTTCAATTTAATACCGTACTCATTTAGGCCATGGAAGAACATTCGTAGCAATCGCGTTTTTCGATGAATTATCATGTGTTAAAATTTGTTAATGATATCGCATTGCTATCAAAAGAACCGGCTGTGCGAATTTGTTACATTCACAAATTGCGAAACTGCTTTGTTTAAAATTATTTCACAACAGTCACAACCATCGTAAAGGTGATCAAAACAACATTTACAAGTGAACAACTTCTGGCATATTAATGGCGAGTTACAGCTCAAATGTAAATTGGAATCCGAATTTCGATGTTTTAATTAGCGACAGCGAGGATGACGATGATGAGAGGAAACCAAATTATAAAGGGCGCGAAGCGTTGGTATTCGTTGTGGACGCTAATCTTTACGCCGAGTATGAGAGATTTGCTGAGGCACTGGATATTGTGCGCAAAGCGTTAATATCTGGATTGCTTGTAAATAGTAAAGATTTAATTGGTATTGTATTTGCAAATACAGAAATGAATCCGGATCCCTACGAAGCTAGTAGTTTAGATAATATTGTTTTGCCACAAAATTGCGCGGTTTTTTTACCGCTCCGTGATTTATCGAAATCAATAGTAGAACATTACTTGCGCTTTATGGAAACTGCTGAGCACGAATTTGGTGCCAACTATGGTATCGTAGGAAATGGCGGGCATGCCGATTTTGCTGTTATGCTACGTTTGTGTATAAATCTATTTGAAAATGCCGGCTATAATTTGGTTTCTTCGACATTGGTTTATCTTACTGACAGAGCGACGCCCCATCCACTCAACTCAAATTTATATCAAAGAGCCTTACAAAAAGCTAAAGATCTAGAAGGCAAGGAAATCGAGTTTCAAGTGATACCTATGGTTGATGAATTTGATTATGAGCCATTTTATAAAGAATTTATAACGCTGGTTGAAGGTTTGTAAGACATTAATTTTTAAGTTTTAAGTTGCATTTCATAAGCACAATTTATTACAGATGGAAATATTGCTGATTTTGAAGCGAAAAATCCGGAAGAATTGCGTACACTATTATCTGATCGCAAGTTGCGACAAAACGTATTGAGGCGATCGTTGGGTCATTTCAAGTTATCACTGGGTCCAGATTTGGCGTTATCAGCCCTCTACTATAAATATTTTAAAGCTCGTTTCATGCCACGAAAAGTGCGGTTACTTCGGAAAGACAATTCAATTGTACACCAAAAGCGTGTTATTATGGTGCGTAAACAGTCTGAAGAAACAATGGAAGTTGTTGAAGAGCACCAAGTTAAACAAAGTGGTGGTTGGTACGAGATTAATTTGGGCGACATGTGTATACGCATTACACCCGAGCAAATAAATCGTGTTCGAAACTTGCATGCGCCGGGCATGATGTTACTTGGCTTTAAACCGATTTCTGAATTGCCAGAAAATTGGTATTATAAACCACAAAACTTTATGTATCCCGATGAGAAAGGTGTTAGCGGATCGAAATGTCTATTTAGAGCACTTTGGGAACGATGTTTGGAGCGAAATAAAATGGCTATTTGCTTATTTATGCGTAAGCGCAAATCAATTCCACGTTACGTTGCCTTAATACCCGTGGAAGGTACTGCTGCAGAGGATGATACATCCAAACCCTTATTATCAGGTGATGGTTTCAAAATAATATATCTGCCTTTTGCCAAACACATACGCAATATAGATTTTGCCAATTGGAATAGCATGCAAAATGAGTCACCCGAAGAAGGTGTGAAAGTTTTTGAAAAGGTTGTCAGTAAATTGCGTACAACATTTCAGTCTAATTTTCTTGTTGATCCAACTGTCGAAGCATTGCAATCTAATATACTTGCTTTGGCTTTAAATATAAAAACCGACAATTCGGGTCTGAGTGGAATGCCGGATGCCAAGCGACAGGATGAACGCATTGCAAAAATCTTACCACGCTTAAATGAAATATTCGGCGATGATGTAGAGGTAGCGAAAAAACGTGCGGCAACTGATGCATCAGATGCAAATGCATCTAAAGTACCTAAAGCGGATGCGGATAGTTTGAAGCAACTTAACTATGTGCAGCAGTTGGCTAGCAATGATAAGTTGGGTAGTTGTACTGTTGCACAGTTGCGTGATATTTTAAAAACACATTTTGATGTGCAAGTGCCTACAAAAATGAACAAACAGGATTTGATTGTTCGAGTAAAGGAACTAATAGTTTGATGCTTGTTGATTTGTTGTTCTTCTTTGCTTTTGTTTTATTCGTTTTCGGTAATATTTTTCGAAAATTTTAGAATTAAAATACATAAACTCATATAAGACGGTCAAGATTTTTTAAGGACATTTTTCATTATAATATTACATATGTACATACTAATGTTAATGTATTAAAAATAAAAATAATTTATCCAACTTTATTTCCAAATCCGCTTTAATTCCTCAAGCCGTTTACAAAATACGCAATGGGTGTTTTGCTTGTTGACAGTGGTGCTCCAAATTCTTTAACCCGTCTGAAAAATACGATTTCTAGAGGTTTGCAAAAAAGGTTTCGTTTCCAAATCATGTTGTCATGGGTCGATCTTTACAATTCAGGTCGAATTAAATAATTCTGCAGAGTAAAGCTTTGTGAGCGTTTTGACTCAAGAAACGGTGGCCATCATCTTTCCGGTGAATAGAACATTCTTCGCCTTCTTTATAGCAGGTTCACTGGGTGAAGTCCACTGTTCTGACTTTTAAGCACCGTAAAACACTATTGTAAAGTTGCCTCACTTTATGCCCGTCAGGAGTGAAATAATCCGACATCCAACGTACCGACAGTTTTTTTATGTGCAACATTTAGTCAGAATATAATATTTCTGTGTCGGCTTCACAGAATTTACTGACAGTACCTTTAACGCACTACCCATTCCTACGGACGTCGTCGTTGGCGAGCGTCAATTCCGCAAGGTGATCGCTGCTGCTACCGCTCGGTTCATACCGCCTGGAAGAATCGCGGAACTCCGAAAAATTTCCCAGCCGAAGCAGCTGTATTAGCAAACGAGCGCAACACCTTACGCCATGCCGATCCCTGTGATCCCCGAATAAGGGATCTCAATTTGGAGATTCGGCAATTGGTAAACCAACATAAGCGGACAAAATGGGTGGAGCACCTGAAGTCCTGTAATTTTTCCACCGGTGTGAGTAAGCTTTGGAATACTGTCAAGGCCTTGTCTAATCCGAGGAGATATGACGACCGGGTTGAAATTCAATTCGATGGCCTTGCCTCCACGGACCCGAAGAAGTGCGCGAGCTATTTTAGCCGGCAGTTTACACTGCGCAAAATGCCAAAAAACTGCGCACCACTTACTTTCACCGATGGGGAGATTTAGAGTGTCATCAAAAAGGCGAAATCGTCTAAATCCATTGTTCCTGACGGAATAAGCATGCTGATGCCAAAACACCTAGGCCCAACGGGAGTAAACTATCTCACCAAGGTCCTCAACCTGTCGATATCCACTCTTCAAATATCCGATGTGTGGAAAGTCGGAAGAGTGGTCCCACTACTGAAACCTAGGAAACCCACCAACAAAGGGAAGTCTTATCGCCCGATAACTCTCCTTTCTCCAGTAGTGAAGACACTTGAGGCCCTGTTACTCCCGTTATTCACTCACCACTTGAGTCTAGCAGACCATCAGCATGGCTTTCGAAAAGTGCACAGCACCACCACAGCACTTAGCGTTATTAACGCCCAGATAGTTCATGGCCTGAACCAGAAGCCACCCTGCGAGGGGACGATTCTCGTAGCGTTGAACTTTTCAAAAGCTTTTGACACAGTCAATCACACAACGCTACTTGAGGACCTAGAACAATCAACGCTCCCTCCAGGTCTGAAGCGGTGGACCATGAACTACCTGAGCGGTCGGCATTCATCCGTACTGTTTCGAGGTCAAAACTCCAAACTTAGAAAAATTAAACAGGGAGTTTCGCAGGGCGGTGTCCTCTCCCCAATACTGTTTAATTTCTATATTTCGAAACTCCCCCAGGCACCAGCGGGAATTTCAGTGACCTCGTACGCTGATGACTGCACGATATTGACGTCGGGCAATGGAATCGATGGCATGTGCTCAAAAGTAGACAGTTACCTCTCCGATATTTCTCGCTCCTTCTCTGCAAGGAGCCTAACATTCTCCCCCATTAAATCCACAGCGACCATCTTTACAAATTGGACGAAGAGTACAGACTGGACCTGAACATTTCAGTCGATGGCACAAAAATCCCGGCAGTTAATAACCCTAAAATTTTAGGCGTCACATTGGACAGTCTGTGCTCCTTCACTCCTCACACGACCGCGATAACTGCCAAAGTACAGAGCCGCAACAAAATCCTCAAGTCGCTTGCCGGCAGCTCTTGGGGAAAAGACAAAGAAACGTTGCTGGCAACATACAAGGCAATTGGCCGGCCGGTCTTAAACTATGCATCACCAATTTGGTCGCCTGGATGTAGAACGCAGACGAGGAAGCTTCAGACTTGTCAAAACACTGCACTCCGGACTATCACGGGGTGCCTCTTGATGTCCCCTGTTGAACACCTACATAGTGAGGCCCTTATGCTTCTGGTTAAGGAACATAATGAGCTCCTCTCCAAGCAGTTTCTGCTGGGGTGTTTTCGCAGAAATCATCCCTGCAGTCGCCTGTTTGAAGCGGAACCACCTCCTAGAAACATCAAGAGGTCATTCCTTGATTACGTCGACGACATCAGACAGTACGCCGACCGGACTTCGGACGCAACTAACTTCAGACAGGCACTGACCGCCATTCACAGTGGAGCCATGAACACCTTCACAGACTCCCTCTCAGTGAATGGCGTAATACGAGTCAAACCACCACCCATAGCAGACGTAGAGCTCGAGTTGCCTCGCGAAACCAGAGTGACCCTAGCGCAATTTCGTTCTGGATACTGTAGCAGGTTAAAATCCTACTTATCCAGAATAGACCCCGACATACCAAACACATGTCTTGCGTGCAATGAGTCTCCGCATGACACTAACCACCTCTTTGCATGCCCAACAAACCCCACTCATCTAACAACCTTCTCACTATGGTCCGACCCCGTCGAAACAGCTCGTTTCCTGGGCCTCCCGTTAGATGACCTCGACGACAACGAACATTGAACGTTAGATACTGAAAATTTGAGGAAACGCAATTTATCGGACCAACAACAACAACTGATAAAACGGTGGATTTGACAACATTTACTTGTTTGTCCATACTGCATTTTAACGAATTGCCCATCAGTGAGCAGCGAAAGTGCTCTCTCTTTAAAGAAAGACATTTGCAACAGATAAAAACATTGATAGATTCACAGCCATAAATAGACATATACTCATGTAAAAGGGGTTCCAATAAGGCTCGTTGCTAATATGGTTTAAACAAGTCCATGACTGAGTATCGATAAAATTATATTTTGCTTTTAAAAGCCAGAGCTATTACTCGTAGAGACAGAATAAAATCAGTACTCTCAACCTCTACTAGTAACCGTTGACGATGACGGCTGCATATAATTAGGTCCATACCTGAGGTGTACCTGATGAGGGTTGCTATTCCCAAGAAATTGTGACTAGTTAAATCTTTCCTCAAAGACCAGTCGATATGAAACTTGGCGAATTACTAGCCTCAGTTTCTCCGACAAACTTTCATGTCTCACAGTATTTTCACTGAAACTGAGCGACTTAACCGACCTCGACAAAGCCATATGACCTTCAGTGAGTTCCTCCCATTGAGACCCCCTATAAACTTGTACTTACTAATGATGGTCATTACAAATGAAACGCGGCACCTGCCACGAGTGCAGCACTTGAAAAGGTGAAAGGCAGCACTATTGCATTTTATGAGTGTGGGCTCTTTTCACTTTTTGAGCACTTACATGAACATAATCCAAAGTGCGTTGCAGCGAGCGTGCAGAGTGCACTGTAACACTGACCACACTCTACGGACGTACTTTGAGTCAAACATGAGCCGAAATAAGAGGTTTAAAAATAAAATGCTATAAGTATATGGGATAAAAAATGGGGTTATGCGAAGCAGAGGTCGACCAAACATTGAGTGCATTATTGCGTGGCGGCACGTAAATGGGATGTCGCGAATGATGATGTACGCGTATAATATGTATGTCGTGAATCTACCGACATATTGTACATATGGTACATATTATATATATGTTCATATGTATATTTGTATTGTATATTAGAGTGGGTGAATTTTTTTCGATAAAATCGCATCTGCGGAAAATGTTCTACGGTTCATTCTGAATAACTTTGGGTCTAAAATCGATTTCGAGCCAGCTATTTTTCAGTCAAAGTTTAGCTTTGAGGGATTATAAAAAATTGTTCGTCAGGTTTTGAGATATTCGAATGAAATATAATACACAGATGTATTTTAATATTGAATTGATCATTTGTTGGAATCGGCCAGGTCGAATAACTATAGCATACCATATATCTCCCCTACAACCTATTATTGAGATTTTTTTTTATTATTTTCCGGTATACTGCTTTCAAATTATAAGCTACGAGCACAAACATATTTTCGAAGAATTGTCATCTAATATATACTTAACAATGGTACAAACAAAAACTGGACGCTTATAACATATATCTCTCTTATAACCGATTGCTCAGATGCAGTGCTTTTTCATTTAATTTTAAGTATTGTACTTAAAATGCACCTGTGTATTAAATTTGATTCCGATATCTCAAAAACAGACGAACAAATATTTATAATAGAATATTTTCCGCACATGCGATTTTTTCGTTTTTACGGCCTCCTGTTAAACGTCCCGTTCTAATGTATACAGCCAGTGAAAAAGCTACCGCAGTTCAATATTAATGATCTTTTCGTAATACTTGCCGTTGTCACATGAGTGTTATCGTAACACATATGTATGTATGTATGTAACACTCTGAAAATTAATCACTCTAGACTTACTCCTTGTAGAGTTAAACTTGATGTTTTCAGCATTTTGACCAAGAAGCTTAAAGAATTTTAAAACATAAGAAATTTAATCTAAGATTATAAGAAATCATAAACGTTAAGATTAAAAAATCTTCGTCTTTTCTTTTCCTCTTTAGTGAAATAGATTAGGCCTATTCAACTCTTATTTATACTTTTTATTGGGTTCACAATTTAGAATCCGAAACATACATATATTTTGTACATACAAGGTTTATTAAAAAGTATCGCGAATTTTGAATTTTCGCGGGCTCCATGTCGATTTTCGATTGTTTCCTTGCGTTATGTTGGCACACAAAATTTCATATAAATTCCTTGATCCATTTTTTGGAATAAGTAAAAATCGAAGACGAACTCAAACGCGTCCAAGCGAAACAGCAGACAGGATGAGCGGATTGCAAAGGTTTACCTCGCAAAAAGTAATTCTATTT